AGTTTGAGCTGATGTCGTCAGACTGTGTCCTGGGATTTTTCCGCTTCTGTAGATTTTCATTTTCATTTTCACACAGTTGTAGTTCAGTTTTCTGGAACTCTTTGTTGTGTAAAATCTGACCTCACAGTTTCAGCTGCAGGCTCGTAAATCGGCCCACTCACCGTGGGACAAATAATGACCTCCTCCAACAATTACTCCCTGTTTCACAAAGGGGGCCCACCCAACCTCCCTGTTTCACAAAGGGGGCCCACCCCTCATTTTGTGAACCACAAAAGGGTGTTTTTGTAGTCAGTTGTTGATTGGCGTTTGTTCTGTTGTTATTTTTATATTCCTTACCTTCCGTAAATGGTCTTCTTTACTTTATTATCTTCTTGTCATTTTGCACCGTGGGTCAAAGAGGACGGACATGTCTTTGAGCCGTATGTCCTGTACGTATGGACCCGTCATGAGTGAAGACGACAGAACTTTCTACATTTGTGCTCCTTGTTTCATGTGCATGAGGTTCTTGATGAAGCTCGTCTGTGTGGGAGTCTCACTCCGACGACTCCTTTCTTTTTTTAGTCACTTGACTTTGGCTACAAGTGTTCCTCTTCACTATGCAGCAGCCACTTAGTGCAGAGCTTCAGAGGCACAGGTCGCAATCAGTCTGACGTCTGAGCTCTTGATTGTGGAAGGTGTTGCCAAGGTAAAAAATGCAGATGGGATTTCGGCAGCTACAGAAGAAGAAGCTAATTCTGCCCACGCTCCCTCCTGAATATTCTGATTATATCACCAAAAAAAAAAAAGATTAATCAAAGTTTGAATTTCTAATGAATCTAGATCAATGTAAAATTTTTACAAATGAATAATGACGGGGGAAAAAAACCTATTTCTTCTCCTCTGTCTAACTCTGTGAAGCTGTTCCTATGGATGAGGCTCGAAAAAGAATCATTGAAAAACAGTAATAGCTTTAGTATTTTAATCGATCTGAAGTTTTATAGAATTATAGTTAAGTTATTGACTTGTCAATGATACTAAGTAAAAAGTAGTAAAAAAAAATCATTACAGTGAGTTAATATAAACAAAATAAAATTCACTTACTGAAAATTTAGCATTTAATTTTAAATACACAACAGGAAACACTGCCCCCTGTGTTGAGCAGTACTACAGGATTTTTCTGGAGCAAACGGATAGAGTGGAGGCCAAAGTCTGACGAAATCAATGTGCAAATATAAAATATATATTTATATACATATATAGGATGAGTCAATAAGACAAGACTTTGAGTCTAAGACAATCTGTTGCTTCCTGTCACACTCTAATTAGATTCTTCTCTTAATCTCAGTCACATGACTCGACTGACGCTGAACACTGAACCAGAGGGTGGCGCCGAGTGCAGCTGCACTGCTGTGTATAAATGAAGGCCCGTCCTGTGAGCCACAGGGATCATTACACCACAATCAACGGCCTGCTCCGTCTTTACCCATAACCCACCTGTCTTTGGAGCCGCCTGCCTGTGCACCAGTGGGTCTGTGCTACGCTTGCAGTGATAACAGTGTAATCAGTCAGCCCACCGCCCCCGGGGGGGGGGGGTAAA